TGCTGGAAACTACCCATCTTTATCTCCACATTCTGAACCCCCCTTATTCTTCTCTACATATATTCCAAAGCACATTTATTTCTTGCTAATGCACTGTTTTCTTCTGTATGTTCATACTTGCTCAGCATACACCATTCACAGCAAGTCAGCACTCCAAGATTCATCTTGATTGCTGTACCTCAGGAGTGTCCTGAGTTCCTGGGAACTGCATGCAGATGTTCATTGAATGGATGAATGAACAAAACATGAAACTTAAGCAGATGTTTTTCACCAGATCTTTACTTTCTCATTGCCCAATCTGGATACCTGTAATGGACCTAGACTGAAGAGAAAGCCTTGAGACCCTAAACTCATCTTACCTCTCTAACCTCAAAGCTTTTTAAACCTGCCAGCTCTCAAACTACAAAACCTTAGAAAGACTGGCATGAAGGAGACTCTGTACTTTGTCTGTAGAAGTCATAAAGGGCTAAGAGACAGAAAAATGTTAGTGTTTGCTGCCAGAGAACGTTTTCCTTATGACTGCTGCAGCTGTTCAGTGCATTTTCTCTGCAAATTTATGGGCCCTTGTTAGCCCCAGGGCCAAAAATGTGAGTTTGAGGAATTAGTAGACATAGTGAGACAGCTAACATGGTTTGTGGGTGGGCTGGAGAATTGACAGGGATTTTAGATTGAAGAAATTCTATGACATTTAAAGCTACAAACCTTTATTTTAGGAACCACAAAGCAAAGAGATTTAAAGAAAACAAACTAATGGCTTGTTCCTGTAACTGACATTGTTAAGCTTGTGATTTTAGCACTTGGTTGACTATTCTCTTGCTTTAATAATTAAATGAAGCCAGAAACATACCCTGAAAATACCACTTAGTAATTTGGGAAAGATCATACATTTGCTGTAGGAATGGTATCTCTCAGGCAGATGACCCCATTGGCTGCCTACCCAGCTGTCATCTATAAACTCATATTATTTCATCAATTACTTCTAGTGCTTTTGTCCCTGCTGCAAGTTCCCCAAAGGATGATGTTTTTTGGTAAAGGTTGTGCTGCCTTCTTTGTTTTTCTTTTTTTGGTAGGTATGGCTCTAAAACTTTAGAGACAAATGACTTCTGTTCATGTGTAACTTGGCATTTAGGGAGAGGTTTGATGTAGTCAGAGGGAAGGCCTTGCATTAGGTTGATTCTGTCCTGCTATGCTGTGCTACTCAGGGTATTCAAAGTTACTTCTAGCTGCATGTAAGTGTAGAGACCAAGGTCACTTTATCCAAGCTGGACCTTTTTAGGCTGAGATGCTTGTCTTTGCCACTAGCCCTGATCCTTTTCAGAGATGGTATCATTTCTATTTGCCTGAACTTTTCCAGTTAGTATCAAGATCACTTGTGATCCTCGACTTAATTGTGATGTGTGTCTAAATGCCTTCTTCAAGATCTGTTTAATTTTCCCACATTTACCTTTACTTTTGCCATTTTACTGAAGTTGGACCCAAATTCCACATGCCCTAGATCCATAACCCTGCTGGCCAGAGTCTTGGATTTGTCCTGTCTTCTAAGGTTTTGTAGTTGGTGTGATAGATTGCTGAAATAAAAGTACGTAACTGATCATGAAGGTAAATGGTTTCCTATGTTTTACCGTATGACAGGAATTTAGATTTCAGTGGATGAGGGTGGCTGAAGGAGTGCGCCAAAACTTTAAAATATGCTTTCATAATTATTTCTGGTTTGAAATACTTGGTAGGATAGAAAAACAAGTTAACAAATTTGCACACATTTAGGGAGGGGATTTGCTCTTTCATTCTCCAATTTTTAAGAGACTGTTATTGCCCTTTCATTTTTAAATGCTTAGTTTGTGCAAACACCTGAAATGGAGGTGAGTGGGTTTGGATGGAGCCCTGAATAAGGGAGATGGAACTACGTAAGCAAAGCTAGAAAAGTGAAGGTACTGGATTGTTGGAGGGACAAGGCATAGTTCAGATCTTAAGTTGATTGTAGAAGTGGGCTGGTAGAAGTTGTACAGGATCTCAGTTTATACCTAGTAGTTTACACTTAATTTGATAGGGAGCTTTGGAGGGTTTAGAACAGCTTCCTGGGAACAGTGTTAGGGTAGATGAGGATAGGGAGAGAGGAATCTTTTGGAGGCTTTAATTTGGTGGTTTACAAGATCAGAGCTCAGGTCAGGATGGTGACCATGGCAGTGGAGTGGCTGGAGCAGACAGGACAAGCCTTACTGTGTGTTGTTGTACTGGCCCTTTTAGCAGCCTTGCTATGACTTTAACCCACGGAAGTCTGGTCCCCAAATCAGGTGGTTTCTAGGCTATGGAACCTTTCCCCCCTCTTGCAACATTATGCTAAAGTGAACTTAATAAAAATTCTCAGGATATGTTTAAGACTTTTTTTTTTTTTAAGACAGTCTCTCACTGTCACCCAGACTGGAGTGCAGTGGCTTGATCTCAGCTTACTCCAGCCTCGGCCTCCTTGGTTCAAGCCATTCTCCTGCCTCAGCCTCCTGAGTAGCTGGGACTACAGACCACGCCCCGTTAATCATTTTTTGTATTTTGAAGTAGAGGTGGGGTTTCACCATTTTGACCAGGCTGGCCTTGAACTCCTGACGTTAGGTGATCCACGGAGCTTGACCTGTTTAAGATGCTCTTGATTAGATATCTGGTTGGTGGCTGTGTGCAAGAGGTTTGAAAATAGTGAAGAAGCGTATTACCTTAGTTTGCAGAATTTTTTAATTATAAAATTAGAAAATACAGACTACTTTTCTCATGTGACCAGGAAACTATTGATCAGTTTGACTTCTCAAATGCAGATATGAGTAATAAAGCATTTATTTTCTAAATTCCTCTATTGTGAATACTGTAGATGTTAAAATTCATAGAGGACCATTTATAAAAGTCTTTATGGCTCTTTGGAAGTAACTGTGTATGTAAAAGTAGAGACCATCTTCTATTTCCCAATAAAACCTGTGCTTTCACCAAACTAACATTTTATCTTAGAGCCCAGTGAAACTTCAGAATATTCTAGATTCATCTATGCTAAAGTGCCTTTTCATAAATTATTACTTGGATAATAGGAGGAAAAGCAGTCTGAATTGGCACAATTGATGTCTAAATTAAGAGGAGAATATATATTGAAACATTATTTTTTAAGCCTTAAAATTAATGGCTCTGTTTCACTGGAATATCGCCTTTTTTCTTTCCGAAGAGTTTCAGAGCCAATGGAATCTATAAATAGTGCACAGCCCAGTTGTCTGTGGTAGATTGAGTAGAGCAGAATTGCCTGTCCTTAAGTGAAGGGGAAGTAGCTTTACATTTTTAGTAACGGAATTGTTGGCCAGCATAAAGGTAAGGGCCATGTGAGCAACTTATTTATAACTTCCATAAAGGTATGTGTCTGCCTCAAGCGGAGAGACTGTCTGGGGTGCTTGAAATGTAAAAGTGCAGTAGAATCATTTTCCATACCCAGCCTTCCTACCTAGTTGGTGCAATAAAGTGATTGTTCACCTCCCTTGGGCTTTCAGAAAGAGGGGTGTCAATAGATTAGCTCATTAGTGTCCACCTCCTATGGAATTAGAAGGGACTGAGGTAGTTAAATTATAGTCTGTTTTATGTGGTGAGGAATGTTTAGACTGAACTCCTGAAGGTATTCAGGACATACATTTGTGCCTGGTTTACCCTGCTGGATGTGGACCTACTCATGTAATCTTAACTGCAGTTGGGTTCTTATAAAAAAAACTTTCATGGGTGTAAAACATTTTTTCACAGTTCAGTTTAACTACAAGTATTTTTTTGAAAAATAAAGAACACAGTATCAGACAGAATTCTCTTGTTATAATGGGAGAAGGGAAGAAGAGTAAAATATTTTCATGGCATCCTGTAAAAAAGTTTGTTAACCCTTTTTGGTAGATGCCAGAAAGTGGACCCCATTGTTACTGGCAGCATTGCTAGTATCAAGAGTAAATCACTTACAGCCAGGATTGTTTCTCAGGATAAAATTTTTATAATTTTAAATAAGTAAAAGGCATTTTCGGACCTCTTCTGTTAATTCGCTGTCCATTTTTAGAAGCTAAGTTTTCTGATTATTACGTTGACCGTTTGAAGCATCTGTACATATGGCAAAAAAGTAAACTTGCGCTTTTGTGCCAATATCATGGCTCTGTTTGGTAGTCGGGCAAGTTGCAGTAAGTGGTAAATGGCCCATTAACTATATTGGAAGCCTCATAGCAGCACTAATTTTAAATCGTGCTGGGTTTACAATTTACATATTTAAAAATGTTCACTTGATTTCATTCAGGGACAAAGCTGACATCCTATGCAAGCTTTACTCCATGCAATCTTATTTATCGGTCCAATTATTTCAATTGAAGGATGCTGGTTTACTGCCTCTTAGTATATGTGAACAATTCTCAGTGAAACTGTTAGAAACTGGTTTGACTCTAGTGGCAGAAGAACCTCACAGGGTTTCTATTCACTTTTAATTTTAAGTCCCAGGATTAAGGATCATTTGTAGTATAATGTAACAGTGTGGGCAAATATAGCTTCTCTTAATGTCCTTTTGATATTTTGGGAAAGAGTGCTTTTATGCAAAGCAATCACTTAGGAATTGCATGATCACTTTTTCTCACTATAAAATTTCATTCACATTTCCTCCCTTCTCCCACATCCTTAAGAGAGAAGACAGCCTGCAGTATTTTGCTTCATTTTACTTTATTTTTTTTTTTAATTTTTGAGGTGTGGTTTAAGTTAGTTCTTTAGAATAGATGCCAAGATAACTAGTTGATATTGTTTTAAAATCAGCCTCTTAATTAAAAATGCTTATATTTGTGCGAGAAAACTACATGTTAAAATGAATTTGGAAAGATTAGATTGGAATTGCCTCAATTTCAATTAAGCCACACTGCATGGACGTGCTGGGAATATCAATACAATCACTGTAAATTTTGTACAAACTGATTTGTTGCATTATCTTGCTCATCTAACATACGGTACTTTTTGTGTCCATATTGCAGACGGCAACTCCAAACTAACATGGCAGTCAGACTGTGTGATGTGGCTTCTCTGCTTAGAAGTGGTTCGTGGGCAGCAGAGCCTTGGACCGGGGTCTGTGGGATTTTTCTTAAATTCTGTAGGCTACTTTTTTTTTAGCATGTTGCAGGAGTGCTGAGGCCATACCAAACACTTGAATCTTCCATTTGGCATACTAAGTATTCTTAGATTTAATCTATTGTGGTATGGCCATCATTAGGACTTAAAGCACATTGCAATTTTAACTTCAGTGGTATGTGTAGCATCAGAACCATGTTCTTGTATGTAATTTTTTATAATCTGAATTAGGATTTAGTGCAGACTCAAAAGAGTGACAAGATTTTTAAAAAACAAAAAAAGTTTTGGTATGGTCTGAATACTAAGTTACAGTAATTCTATACATTCTGTTTACTATGTATTTTTTTGGTTACTAAATTTTGAAGTTATTTACAATTCTCGATGCTCAAAAAAAAAAAGTTGAAATTATAAATCTGGCTGAAAATTATTTGCCCAGTAACTGTTGAAAGAGTTTGCATTCTGTGAACAGTTGTGTTGAGCCTATCAATGGAATATGCATTATTTGTAAAATATAGCACATTAGTATCATTTTATTCTGAGCAGATGGTCCTATAGCAGAGAGATGCTGTAATTTTCAGTGCACACAGCCTACTGCAGCTGTTCACTTGAATGTTGGCTTAGGAGCTCATTCTTGCCACCTGAACATGGAAATAAATGTGCAAATAAGTGAGGAGTGTTTGTTGTCCTTTCTAAATCTTGGCTAATTTCAGTCAACGAACACTTTATATTTCAAATGCTATCCCAATGAGCTTTAGTCCGAATCTTACATTTGGGGCTCTCGTAGTTTCTACACCTATCCAAACTTTTGAATAGCGATTTGAGTGTCTTTGGCCACTTTAATCTTGTAGCTTGTTGTTTCCATAACTACTGGGCAAGGGTTAACCCCAGAAGAATTTTGCTGTGAAAAGAATGACCCACAGCTAATACTCTGCAAACCAGAACAGTTATGTTTTATTAGGAAATCCGAAACTTTTTTCAACTTCAAATAGATTTGTTAATTATAATACAACCCATATCTTGAGTTATTTAAGATTTTTAAATATAGATTTCCAAAGGTTTATTTTCCTTCATCCCTTTAAGTATTCCCTGAGAAAACGTAGCTTACTTACCCAAGAGAAACAGCTTGAAGCTTGTAGAATAAATACCCACTTCTTTGACAAGCAAGGAAATGAAGTCACGGAGGGGTTGCAGGTTGTTGGATATTTCAAAAGCTATTCTGGGTTTTGCTTCCTGTTTTTTTTATCATGACAGCACTGATTCTTGTCCAGTCTGACCAGTCTCAATCTGTCCTATACTGCCGCCTTTTATAAACATCTCCTGGCAGTAGAGATTTCTTCCTTTATGTTTATCTGCTAATGTGCCTTTCATTTTTCTTAGGCAAAAAACGGCTTTTTAAAAGACAGTTTTTTCTCTTTCCTTTAACCCTCTTTCCCTTTACTTTGCTTTTTTTCTTTGCCTCAAGTTCTTTGCCTTTTCTATGTTAAAGCTTCCCAAAAACTAGCATCCCATCAATTCAGAATTGTCAGTTTTGAGAAGTAGTCTTTGTGGAGGTGAGAGATGTATTGTATGAAACATGAAGGATAATCCTTTCAGTGATGCTTTGATTTTTAGATTCCACCACAGTCTTGGCTGTCCAAAGTTAGGTAGTTACTGAAAAATGCTTTTGGAAAATCTGGGGCTGTGGTTTGTGACTCTTTTGCATAGGATTGGTTTTTAGGAAACCAGATTTAAAACTGCTTACTCAGTGATTTTTAGAGTAGCCTGAAGAGTTTGAGGCCATTTCCCCTCAATTCTGCTCTTTATCTGGTATTTGGATTTTATAGATACCCTATTACTTGCATTTTCAACAGGCTTATGTGCTCAAATGAGAATTACTTGGGCTGGTCTGTTTGCAGAGGTTGATGTATTTACATTGGTGTTTTCATTGGCTGGATAGGTTTTCTTTTTTCTCCTGAAAAGCTGAGTCAAGGAAAAACACCATATTGAATTGTTTGGGGGTTTTATTTTGATGCTGTAGATCAGTTGCCTTGTTGGTGATTTTTAGCTGCCAAGGTTGACAAGAGTGTCCTATTAGTCTGTTAGTTTCTACCAGTTAGACAAAGTATTCATAGCTTCATTCCCAAGTTACCTTATAATTCCTTTCCGCTCCCTAAAACACAGCATCTATTTTTTTTCTTACCAATGGTAGAGATACAATATTGTCCATCAAAACATTTTCAATATGTAACCAAAACAGTACATGTTGACAAATTTATATTTTTAAAAGTACTTTTGCTCTTTCATTTTTAAGTTAGTGGCTCAGTTTTAGAATACTGAACCTCTTACTCTAACTGAAAATCTCTTCAAAGTTAGGTATGTCATTTTTTGGTTCATTTTGATAGCATGTTCAGCACTTTGATTTTCTAGTATGATTTTTAGTTAGGGTTGAATTCTGTGCCCTTTGATACTTAATTTCCTCATCTGTGGACACTGCAGGTGAGTAAGGATATGTGAATAGACCCAGAATCTGATTCTAGAAAATGTTTAAGATTTAGATTATGTTTATGTGCATGTATGGAATATGTATGTGAAAATAAAGTTGTAACCTTTAAGTTGAATAGCTTAATATGAAGTAAAAATTAGTGTAGGTGTTACACCTTTTGTTGAAGCATTGTTGTAATTTCAGCAGAACGACTTGTGTTTAGTGAAAAGTGTTTAAATTCTTGGATGGAGTCTCTAATAGGTTGTGAAATACGAAATCTGACATTTCTTATTTTCTCTGTTTTTAGCAGGTAATTGCTGCCATGGAAACACAACTGTCTAATGGGCCAACTTGCAATAACACAGCCAATGGTCCAACCACTATAAACAACAACTGCTCGTCACCAGTTGACTCTGGGAACACAGAGGACAGCAAGACCAACTTAATAGTCAACTACCTTCCTCAGAACATGACGCAGGAGGAACTAAAAAGTCTCTTTGGGAGCATTGGTGAGATAGAGTCCTGTAAGCTTGTAAGAGACAAAATAACAGGTAAGCAGTTTTATGTAGATGACTCATATTTAAAGGACTGTGTCTCAAGATATGAGAAAGTAGTAAGATTACTGCTTGTAAATAATTCACTGCTGCAATTTTACATATCTAGATTTTTCTCTGTTTTATTACATCAGCAATATAAAACTTAGTTTAAAATTTTCTTTTTAAAGCATAAACTATTTGGGGGCAGTATATATTTTAACTGGACTTTAATATACTCTCATCTGGATAGTATCTTTGGAAAACGTTCTAAAAGTGTGTATGTCTTGGATAAGAAGTGTCATGTTAACCTTTATCTTTAAGTATTCTGAGTGTATTTAAGTTAGCATTTCAACAGTGGAATACAGTATGTGTTTGGGAGGGTAGAAAAATCTTAAAATCTATTTTCCTTATGTTAGTATAATCCTTTTGCTTATATATGATGAAATAAATGGTAATATTCACATTGTCAGTGTATACATATTTTCACTGATATGATACTGAGTGTAATGAGATCTTACGTTCTGTTCCTTAACGAGGAAAGGATGACATGGTGTATAATTATCCCCCCATCATAAAGATAAGGCTTTAATTATAGTACATTTTGAATATTAGGTAGTTGAAAATCTCTGTAGTATATTTTAAGATTTGACTAAATTTTTAGAATAACCAAAACTTAATTTAAGCAGAATGTTCTAGGGATAGAAGAGTTAATGCTTCCCACAAGAGTTGTTTTCAAACACTAAAAATATATGAAGGTAGACAGACCCCGTGGATTTTTCCTGTCAGTCAAATTTGATTGATGGTATATACCAAATTGCTTTATAAAGCTTATAACCCAAAATATAAGATGTAATATTTGAAATGAGTAAAGGGTACTTAAAGGCAGTGTGAAGAGTGAGACCAGCAGTCTGAACTCACACCTAGTCATGTGACCTTGGATAAGTCAGCTCTAGGCTTCTGGTTTCCATTGGCAAAATGAGGTAAAAGGCAGAGAAAAGGGGGTCACCCTGGGCCATTTCTAAGGTCTCTTTTGACTTTTTCATACATAGAATTTGAGCCATTCCGTTGATCATTACGGAGCATTTTCTTCAAGCTCTCCAAATGGGTTCTAAAGCCAGCCCCTGGGCTTGGCCTCATAATCATATTTTCTCAAGCTACAGATTGAGATTCACAGAGAGAATTACTGAAATCAAGTTAAAAACTAAGTACAAACTGATTGTTATTGATCCATATCAAATAATCATTATATTTTAATTATGTTGCTTAAATGTTCACTGTGATATTATCAGGAAGGTGGTTCTTATGTTCCTGAACACTGATAATCAAATGGATGATATTTTTCAATTTCTTTTCCAAAATGAGTGTGTGATCAGCATATGTGAAATTTATAAAAAGTTTTCAATAAGTTGAAGGTGAAGAACAAAAGGCTCTTCTTTGTCTCTGCCCTAATGTTGAATTTTATCTTTGGTTAAAAGAAAAACAACATCCCTTAAATGTGGATTTTGCAACCTTTTTAATATAAAAGATAAAATATGATAAATGACTTGAGGGTTGTGGCACAAATGAAGCGATTTCTGATTGCTTAGTGGCTCCCCTTACCATCCAAAGAGAAAGATGCTTGAACAGAGCATGAAAGTCATGTTTTGTTATGAACTGATATGTGTTATTTTATATGATGAAAATATTAAACAAATCTTACATCTTTCATATTAGGCATTTGCCACAGGAGGCATCTTAGAGTTTCTCATGTCTTACCTCTGATCAGTCTTGAATTAATCTTATTCTTTTGTAAATCTTTAACTGGAGCTGTTATGTGGCAAAATGGGATAAATTTGAGTTATCTTTACCTCCTTTACCTCTCTAGCTTTAGTTTGGTAGACTGTGGTAATAGACACACAGCACATGGGTACTCTTTAATACATGGCTAGATACTTAAAAAACTGTGTAAATATTTCTTGTCCATTTCCTTCACCTGTGACCCCTGCCCATTGTCTTTTCAGTGGCTCCAGGGGAAGGGTATAATGGAGATTTCCATTGTGTATATATAGAACATTTTCTTTATCTTTTTATTTATTGAGGGACACTTGGATTGAGTTGAGTACATATTTTGGCTATTGTCAATATTGCTGCAATAAACATGGGAGTGCATATATCTCTCTGACACACTGATTTCATTTCTTTTGGGTTAACAACATGCGGTGGTGGAGTTGCCGGATCATATGGTAGTTCTGTTTTTAATTTTTTGATGAACTTTTTATACCATTTTTCATAGTGTATTAATTTTCCTTCCCACAATAGTATATAAGGTTGATAGATGTTTTCAATGTTCGTTTCGTGATGACAGACAAGGGTAGGGAATGCGGCACTCTGTATTTCTTTATTTAAGATCCACTAGGAATAATCACTGTAATAAGAGCTATGAAAAATCCAGCAGTAAAGAAAACCTGTTTGATTTATAGTTCCTCAGACCTACTTGATCATAGAACCTATTTGGAGGTGGTGGGGAGGGTGAGTGTATCTCCCTGACAATAGATTACACTGAACATGGAGCTATAAAAGCTTTTGAAATTATTTTTTGTTAATTGGTTATCAGACCCATTTAACATGTTCACATTAATAACATAAGAGCATGTTTCCTTAAAGAAACATATGATAATAAGTTAAAAAGTTGAGTAAGCAAATCTGAACATGAGGCACCTCAGCTTCTGGTAATCTTGTTTAGATTTGGACCACTGACATCTTATTCATAATATGGGTGAAAATGGCTTTTAGAAGGATCTTACTCATTTAGCTTCAATCATAAACTGCTTCAGTACTTTTTTTTTTCCTGAGTTTCTTAATAAATATTTATATTGAGTAAAATAGTCTAGTAAATGGTAGTATCTAAAACTGGGTTCTGAGTGGTTGTACTTAGAAAAGTAGGCATACTTCTTAAGAGGTAGGAGTAATGTATCTCTAGGAAGGATTTGAAAGAATTTGTGGAGCTTTGAATCCTGCCCTGTGATGTTTAGCATTACCCATCTTGTGCAGTTTCTCAGTAGGCATTTTAGGGACCGACCAGAGTTCTTTGGTCCTTCTCTAATTATCCAGCTTATTCTATCTCCTGGGAAGCAGCTGGGAGTGATTTCTGAATTCTGATTTTGTAGGAGCATGAGCATTAATTGGGTTACGGGAAAACTCTGGAGTCACTCTGCAGGAAGATTTGAAATCTCTCCTTTTCCTTTTTCTTAAATCTTACTTAATGCTAAATTAGGAAACTATATCTCAGAAACAAAAATATCTAGTTTGGAAAGTATGTGCCTCTTAAGTCCTTGAAGAGAGTGTATAATTTTTAGACTGTCAGTGTTAGCAAATTAATGTCACTATTGTGATCGAGTGAGGATTAGGGAAGTACATTAAGAAATTTCTTCAGTAGCAAATACAATAATCTTCTCTGTAGACTAAGTTCTATTTATTACGTTGTTTGTCAGGTCCGTCTCTTTGGGCTTCTGCCCAGCTATATGCTTCAGCCTGTTTCCTATCTATAGGCATTCATCATGAGAAGCTTCTGCTGCTTGTACAGCTTAGCTGATATTAGTCCATCCTTTTGCATTCTTAAATGCACTTTGGAGTCCTTGACACCTGCTGATGCTGTTTTCTAGATGAGTGAAATGGATTTTATAATGCAAGGAATAATAAAGCGCTGCAGTCAGAAAAGCCCTAGATGTAACGTTAACCAGTCTTTTCCCGTGTTTCCCCCAAACATCACAGGCGATAAAAGGCTCAGGTTTATGCAGTTAGTCCAAGGCCACACAGCTGTTAAGCGGTATAGAGTAAGGACCAGAATTCTGATTTTCTTATTCTTTACTTGGATGTTTCCTCTTTGCCTCTTTCTTGTTGGAGGCAAGACCTCACTCTTTAAAGATTAAGCACAGGGCCAACTGATGAATTTATAGAGAGATGTGTAATTTTTACAGAGTTATCCAAAGGTGTCTTCTGGTGAGTCTGTCTTCTCTGGAAGGAAAATGGAAGGTATTTGACAGTCAAGAACTGAAGAATACATGAAATGAACAAGAACATCTATGCTTCTCTTAGAAACATTATAATTATATTGTTGTGAACTTGGATATTCTAGCCTGGTGGTTCTGAAATTTGGCTCTATGTCCTCGCCTAAGGGAGTTTTGGAATCTGTTGTCACAGAGCTTTCCATGTGATTTTGAAGTCCAAAAAGTTTTGGAAATCAGACTTCGTCTCTTGAAGTATGGTCACTAGGATTCCTGCATCGAAATCACTTGTGCTAAGTGCCAGAAATGCGTGGTTCTGGGCCCTGTCCAGGCCTGCCAAATCAGGATCTGTAGGGGGGACCTCCTAGCCTACGTACTAGTTAGCCAGGAGTTATCCATGTCTTGAACATTTCTCAGGGACATTGAACCAGGGATTTCCAGGTTTACCTGAATTCCAGATTTAGGGGTGTAATGGAAGAAGTGTTAATTATTGCACTGCTTAATTCACTGGAAAGTTTAAAGGGCTGTCCCCTCCTCAGCATTGGTCTCAGAGTTAATTCCTAGGGTTCAGGACTACAGATTCTGAGTTTAAATCATGAGGCTGTGTCTTTACTGATCTGATCTGTTGCTGAAAGTGTGTGTGTGTGTGTGTGTGTGTGTAAGTAATTAGGTTTTTGAAACTCCAGGGTAGATTATTCTTTCACTGTTAATTTTCTTTTCTTCTAAAAGAATGGCTAGAGTAGTAGTTAGTGGAAGATCTAAGGTAATGTGTATTTCACTCTTACTCTGAGTTGTTTGATGTAGGTCCTCTCCTGACCCCATCAGCTGCTAACTAGAAGCTTTGACAAAAGGCGGATAGACAGAAACCCCCAAATATAAATTCCAGGGGGCCCGAAGAGGTATTGATTACCTCTGAATAGGTAGTGCCTTGCATGGTAAGGCTCCTCCCACACCCCAGCATGCCTTAGGGCTAGTATCATAAAATTTTATTAATGTATGAGTGTTCTTAGCTAGGTTTATCTTGAGTCTCTG